TAGCCTATACGGGGTACACAACTTTTAGGGTTTCATACTTGTACTGCCATGTTGTCTAGTTCATTCACTTCTTGTTTCTGATAGCCCTGCGATATTTCTTCGTGAAGGACGAGATCGAGAAAGGGAGGCTCGAGCTGTCATACTGCCCCACGTCCGAGATGGCAGCTGACTACCTGACCAAGAAGCTCGGAAAGCAGAAGTTCGAGTATTGCATGCTGCTGACTGGACAGAGCCACGTCACCAGCAGCGACACTCCAGAAGCGAAGGGGAGTGTTGGAAACAATCGATCTTAAGCGCCTCTGTCGTGTCGAAACACTAAGGCACAAATGAAGCGAAGCATATCGAAACACCGGCGAGTCAACCCTCGGAGGTTGAAAGTAACTGTTGGAGGTTACGCGAAAGTCAAAGGTCAGCAACCTTTGACCTGACAAGTACAGCGCGACAGCAAGGACACGCAACTGACTCGCTACAAAGCAGTTGCCCGAGTCATCACTGTATCGAACCGCAACAGCAACAGTAAAGTTGTAAGGATTTACAGAATCCTTACTGAGGCACTTGTTAGCGAGGCCATCCCGAGGGTCACGCGACGAACCTGTCTTGCCTATTTCGTCGCACCGAACCACCCCCGAGTCGGCCTCCGCTCCAATCGCAACCATCACCGAGCCATCCCATCCCGAACCCCCCGCCTAGCTAGCTTTTCCCCTATTTAGGCCTCCTTACTTCATTGTTTCTTCATTCAGTAATTCAGTACTCAATCATTCTCGTTATTCGATATTCTGCGCACTCTGCAAGTTCATACATAACACCTGGTATCAGAGCTACTTTCCTAGCCTACCCCGCTTTTTAGAGTGTAGCACCCCTCGGGGGGGGGGGGGGGGGGGGGGGACGAGGAAGGATGTCTTGGGGTCCAGGAGTTGCGTAGGCCGGCCAGGAGAACGAGTTAGTTGCTCCTCGCGGCCATGGTTTAACGGGTACTCCTTCGGCACCGCCAGATCCTTGCCTCGAACGGTCGCGATCGACCGTGGCCTCCCTCCCCCCGGGCAACGGGCAACAGTAGATGTCGCGACGTTTATGTGAGTAATTTCCGCTGCGATTTCCGACGATTTCGGAGGTTTATTCGTGTAGCAGCTGGCCTCAACGGACCTGCGTTGGCATCTGCATGAACGGCCTCGAAGTCGTCACGTGAGTGGCAGTTGACGCCGTCGGACCTGGGTCAACAGCTGCACGACAATTTCGGAGTTCGTCTGAAGCGGCAACTTGCGACGGTGGCTCGTCGTCATTTTGCACGCATGACGCGGAATGTGTTTTGGCAGCTGGCGACAAGAGACGAGCGTCACTGTGGGCGATTATTTCGGAGCAACTGTGGAGAAAAAGTCGGCTAGGGAACTCGACAGGCGCAAATGGAGTTTTGCGTCCGAAAATATCAGTGGACGAGGAGAGACGACATGCGAATTGCCCGAATAATGCGGGGTCAACTGTCGTCCTGCCCGACCTGAAGTGCAGCGGCTTTTACTGCATGGCGGGCACGTCATCGAAGATTTCGGCAGGAGCGCACGTGGACAGACGGGAACTTCAGACCCGCCGACACTTACGGGTTGCTACAAAAAACGGAGTGGCTAAATCGCACTCAAGAAGAGTGGGACGCAGGCGGCGAGGGCAATTCAGGCCAATACACCCCGAAGAACACTCGGATGACGCTGCGTGTCTGGTACTGTTGACAGCTGGCCGACAATTTTGAGAGTGGATTTCCTGTAAGGAAGTCATTTTCGGGGACAGCCTCAACAGCCCACGATTAAACGGTGTTCAAGGTACCACGCCGACAGTTACGGAGGAGAGTGGTACAGGCCGCCGGGACACACGAGAAGAAACTGCCCGACGGTTAAGCGGGGGTTGAAGAACGGCGTGAAGGGCAGGTTAAAAGCCGGTGTGAACGATCTGTGACCTTCCGTCGCCCGAACCTCACCATCCCCACCAAGTTTCTAGTTCTGACTCATGCAGTCAACTTGCTTGGCCGAATAACGGGGGTGAACACGGGCCTACCCTGTGCTGGTTAAAGGTACCGGGATTGGTGCTCGTTTAACAGCTGTACAGAAAAAAACAAAAAAAGGTGGAGTTGCGGAACAGTTCTACTCCGACAAAAGCGGACTGGGTGAAACAGCACGCGAAAAAATCGGGGCGCCGTATGACAACAATGGTGCAGTTCGCTGGTTTCTCTTGACCCGGGCGTCTACACGAGGTGACGGCGCAGCGGCGGAGCTGGAACCGGGAGTTGTGGAGTTTTAGTGGCGCGACGGCACGGTGGGCTTCAAAGCGGTTGGGAATTATTTCCTTTTAACTAAGGGCCCCTGACTCCGATAGACTTTTCTTCTCCACCGTGGCTGGGTTCGTGCGGGCAACACCGACTATACCTCATCCGAAAAATGCTGACGCTTGGTGAACGGCGGGAAGCGGAATTGTCGGGGGGTGAAACGACCAAAAAATTATGAAGCTGCGGGTATTTCTTCGCTTCTTGGAGTGCGGTTGAGTCGTTGGGGGACTTTGCCTGAAGGGCACTTCTCGAAGTTGCCTGGCAAGAAACACAACGGCGAGGAGACCTAGGACCCCCGGTGTTTAAACGCACACCTCGGGAAATTCTTCAGCAAAAGGGGAGCGTGGGAGCAGTCGTAGCTTCGGGATTGATCGACCGGCGACGAGCGATGTGGTGAAACATCTGCAAAGCGCTGGTGGGAGAAACAGGACTTTTTGTTAAGCGACATCGACGGGAGCGGTTTTGACGACGGAGTCAACGGCGTTGATGCCTCTAGGCTCCGTGAAATTCGGTCTCGGAATAGCCCAGGGCAGTCCCCGGTTCTCGATTGAACCCACATACTGGGGTCGGGTAACCGACGGAAACTGATGGTGACCGAGTGGGCGGCTATTGCACGTCCGAGATTTTCGGAGGCGAACTGCAACTGCAACTGCGGCATTACGGGGTTTGATTCGAGCAACAATTTCGGAGTGTTTACGTGGGGACTTCCCGGTTTTACGGCAAGGTGCGCCGACAATTTCGGAGGAGTTGCGGCGTTTGGTTAAACGCGCGCGTCAAACGGAGGGGGGCAGCACCGCGAGATTTACACAGACTTTTTCAGGGGTACGAAGGACTTACGACGAACTGAAGAAGGCGGCAGCAACAGTGAAGGGGGGGGGGGAGCGACAGCTGTGAAATTTCATCCCCGCCCAAGAATCATCGACGCATTACGACAAAACTCTCGGAGAAACCATTTTCAACTCTGCTACCGACAACTCACCTTCGACCCGCCCACGACAACTGCATTAGTTCTCAACCACGTCAGGAGCTGCCAGCTGCAACTGCTGAAGATATCGGCTGATTCTGGCGACGTGAAGACAAAACGGTTCAGTTCGAGTATTCGATAATTTTAGTTTCAGTTTACGGTCTACATCTTCGGGTTCGCCCTCGAAGAAATTTTGGGCACGTAACACCTGGGATTCGTCATCGAGTTTCCACAGCGACGCAACTTTCACCTGGGTCTCTACGCTCACCAGTCTTCTCAGTGGGACTTCACACCTGGTTTTGTTGGTTTTCATCTCGGCGCAGCTGCGAAACTTTTCTGTGGAGCATTTCTTGAAGGGGGGGGGGGGGGGGGGGGGGGGGGGGGGGGGGAGAAAGTGCTTTGCACTATTTCTTTCCTCGGCGTTTTCTCGGCACAATTTCTGACTTTGTCAGAATGCAGCAGCACGACGGACGACTGCGATCGCTGCTTCACGATCGACGGTTTCTGCAACATCGCGATTGAATTTCGCGTCAGCAGGTTCCCTCCAATCTCGCGTCAGTCTTCGACCGTCAGATCCACATCTGATTCATCGACGGCCCACATTCCAAATTCAACTTTATTTTGGGCTAGTTCATCGTCGACCGTCAGATCGAAATCGGACTACATCGACGGCCTACCTTCCAACCTTTTCAAAAATATTATCGAAGGCATTTCGGCCGTCGAATTCAGCTGAAGGGGAGATCTACGGCATCCTTGCTAGTGTGGGGTCCGTTTTCAGTACAGGACTGCCTTATTTAGAAGGTGGGAGAGTGTAAGGATTTACAGAATCCTTACTGAGGCACTCGTTAGCGAGGCCAACCCGAGGGTCACGCGACGAACCTGTCTTGCCTATTTCGTCGCACCGAACCACCCCCGAGTCGGCCTCCGCTCCAATCGCAACCATCACCGAGCCATCCCATCCCGAACCCCCCACCTAGCTAGCTTTCCCCTACGTAGGCCTCCCTACTTCATTGTCTCTTCATTCAGTAATTCAGTACTCAATCATTCTCGATATTCGTTTTACTGCGCACTCTGCAAGTTCATTCATAACAAAAGTAGTTACAACCGTATCTCTTCGTATTCCTTGTACTCTTATATAATCTTGTATCTCGTTTTAATCAACTTACTTTGCCCTCACATACTAGCGCAAGGTGGTTCACAACTCTCCATTAAAACGCTTCCGCTATTACCGTACATTAGTCCTACCCAGAGTTCACCCCTGCAAAGATCCTAAGGGCTTATCTCAGCCCAACACACATAACACCCTCCTAAGCACCCTGTAGTACTATGTGACCATTTTCTTTCCTTGCCCGGTCTACTTTTATCTACCTCTCACATCTGACCCTAACGTCATCACCATGGCAGCAGGCAGCCTGGCACATACCAACTCCTCCCATGTGATGTTGGGACACCACACCACACAGAAATAAGGTGGTATGCCATCATTGTTGTACCGTAAGCTCCCGGACAGAAGGCCCAGGGGTCTTATATGTGGTAGGGAGAAACTTGGGGTGAACTGCAGCGGTGTGGCACCTTCTTTTTAGGACCCCAGCCCCAGGGTCCTCTGTCCATGGAATCTCAGCATCAGGCCATTTTACTCACGTGCTCATCTTCTGGTTACACATCCTGTTACTCATCCCGTTACACATCTCATTACACGTCCCGATACACCTTCACTGATTACCACAGCTAGTGCAGGCGAGTAGCTTTCCCATAGGCATGGCGAGGGCGGTTGATGAGCTGCAGCAGGCTGTACACCCAGCGATCTAACATGCCTGGTGGGGGTATTGGGGAGAAGCCGGGGCAGGGAGGTGCAGGGTGAGAGAGGAGGGCAGAAGCACATGATACTTGGCAGGATAGCATGAGAAAGGGCAGGGACGAGGGCGGTCGATGAGCTGCAACAGGCTGTACACCCAGCGATCCAGCATGCCTGGTGGGGGTATTGGGGAGAAGCCGGGGCAGGGAGGTGCAGGGTGAGAGAGGAGGGCAGAAGCACATGATACTTGGCAGGATAGCATGAGAAAGGGCAGGGACGAGGGCGGTCGATGAGCTGCAACAGGCTGTACACCCAGCGATCCAGCATGCCTGGTGGGGGGATTGGATTGGCATGGCAGGGAGGTGCAGGGTGAGAGAGGAGGGCAGCATGGCATGAGAGAGGAGGGCAGGACGCATGGCGAGGGCGATTGATGAGTTGCAACAGGCTGTACACCCAGCGATCCAGCATGCCTGGTGGGGGTTGGGCCGGAACGACAAGGGAGAAAGTGAGGGGTGGGGCAGGACATGAGAGTTGGGGCAATGGAATGAGAGTTGGGGCAATGGAATGAGAGTTGGGGCAATGGAATGAGAGTTGGGGCAATGGAATGAGAGTTGGGGCAATGGAATGAGAGTTGGGGCAATGGAATGAGAGTTGGGGCAATGGAATGAGAGTTGGGGCAATGGAATGAGAGTTGGGGCAATGGAATGAGAGTTGGGGCAATGGAATGAGAGTTGGGGCAATGGAATGAGAGTTGGGGCAATGGAATGAGAGTTGGGGCAATGGAATGAGAGTTGGGGCAATGGAATGAGAGTTGGGGCAATGGAATGAGAGTTGGGGCAATGGAATGAGAGTTGGGGCAATGGAATGAGAGTTGGGGCAATGGAATGAGAGTTGGGGCAATGGAATGAGAGTTGGGGCAATGGAATGAGAGTTGGGGCAATGGAATGAGAGTTGGGGCAATGGAATGAGAGTTGGGGCAATGGAATGAGAGTTGGGGCAATGGAATGAGAGTTGGGGCAATGGAATGAGAGTTGGGGCAATGGAATGAGAGTTGGGGCAATGGAATGAGAGTTGGGGCAATGGAATGAGAGTTGGGGCAATGGAATGAGAGTTGGGGCAATGGAATGAGAGTTGGGGCAATGGAATGAGAGTTGGGGCAATGGAATGAGAGTTGGGGCAATGGAATGAGAGTTGGGGCAATGGAATGAGAGTTGGGGCAATGGAATGAGAGTTGGGGCAATGGAATGAGAGTTGGGGCAATGGAATGAGAGTTGGGGCAATGGAATGAGAGTTGGGGCAATGGAATGAGAGTTGGGGCAATGGAATGAGAGTTGGGGCAATGGAATGAGAGTTGGGGCAATGGAATGAGAGTTGGGGCAATGGAATGAGAGTTGGGGCAATGGAATGAGAGTTGGGCAATGGAATGAGAGTTGGGGCAATGGAATGAGAGTTGGGGCAATGGAATGAGAGTTGGGGCAATGGAATGAGAGTTGGGGCAATGGAATGAGAGTTGGGGGCAATGGAATGAGAGTTGGGGCAATGGAATGAGAGTTGGGGCAATGGAATGAGAGTTGGGGCAATGGAATGAGAGTTGGGGCAATGGAATGAGAGTTGGGGCAATGGAATGAGAGTTGGGGCAATGGAATGAGAGTTGGGGCAATGGAATGAGAGTTGGGGCAATGGAATGAGAGGGCAGGGACGCGGGCGATTGATGAGCTGTAGCAGGGCTGTACACCCAGCGATCCAGCATGCCCGGGGGCGGGATTGGGGGGATGCTCAAGGCAGGACAATACAGGGAGAATGAGAGGGACGGAATGACAGGGTACTTGGCGGGGTGGCATGAGAGGACAGGGAGGAAGGTGGGCGAGGGCGATTGGTGAGCATGGGTTTAGTATGTGGTTGTAACTCTTAGGGAAGACACCTTGGAAGTTGTTCGAATGCTTGTATGAAAAATCCTTGGGTGTTTGCCCTCACGCACGGGTGGGTGGTGCAGAGAACCACCAAGGTGGAAAGCTCTTAGAAAGCACCTTGATGGCGCATGTTTGAGTGCTCGTATCATGTCCCTCTGTCCCTCTCTCTTGCCCCGGACCTCCCGGCCCCTGGCATCACTACCACCCTGCCACACCTACTTGGTGCTCGATCGGACACCTTGATTGTGCTCTGTTGGTCTGCACCACCCACCTGTGAGGGCGAAGGTGCCGCCCAGGACAGCGCAGAGGCGAGTGAGGAAGTGGAAGAAGCTGCGATGCGACTCCGTGATGCTCACTGCTATGGGCGAGAGGTCATACAGGAAGTAGACCGCTGCAGAGGGGAGGGGGAGAGAGAGGAGATGCGGAGAGTTCTGGAGTGGGGCAAGTAGGGAAGACAGCAAGGAAGCTGCGATGCGACTCCGTGATGCTCACTGCTATGGGCGAGAGGTCGTACAGGAAGTAGACCGCTGCAGAGGGGAGGGGGAGAGAGTGGAGATGCGGAGAGTTCTGGAGTGGGGCAAGTAGAGAAGACAGCAAGGAAGCTGCGGTGTGACTTGGTGATGCTCACTGCTATGGGCGAGAGGTCATACAGGAAGTACACCGCTGGAAGATGTGGGGAAGAGGGGGAGGTGGGGAGCGGGACATGGAAATGAAGGGGGGCTTGGCAGGGAGAATTAGGGTGAGGCGAACAGGAAGTACTAGGGTGTGGTTGTGGTGTGGTAGGGAGTGATAGGAAGTGGTAGGAAGTGTTCAAGAGGGCTGGAGGATGTTGGGGACGCAGAGGTGATGTAGGAGAAAAGTGGGAAAATGTAGGGTGGGGAAAGTGGGGGAGGAGGCAAGGAAGCTGAGATGCTTGGATGGGCGACGGGGAAGTTGTAGACGGCTGTGAAGAGAGGTGAAAGAGGTGCGAGGGGTGGAAAGGGCAAGAGGGGTGGAAGGGATGAGAGGAGTGGAAGGGGCGAGAGAAGTGGAGAGAGAAATGGAGGCTGCATACCTGGCAGTGTGCGTGTGCATGCCTGGCAGTGTGCGTGTGCATACCTGGCAGTGTGCATGCGCATACCTGGCAGTGTACATGCGCATGCCTGGCAGTGTGCGTGTGCATGCCTGGCAGTGTGCATGCGCATGCCTGGCAGTAACTGCAGTGAGGAGGGCGTGAATTATTTACGGTTGGAGTGGAAGCGAGAGAGCACTACCTGAGGGCACATACGCATGCGCATACCTGGCTGGCAGTGCGTGCGTGCACGGTGCACCTGCAGTGTGCATGCACATACCTGGCAGGGCGTTGGACTGCAGTGTGCATGCACATACCTGGCAGGGCGTTGGACTGCAGTGTGCATGCACATACCTGGCAGGGCGTTGGACTGCAGTGTGCATGCACATACCTGGCAGGGCGTTGGACTGCAGTGTGCATGCACATACCTGGCAGGGCGTTGGACTGCAGTGTGCATGCACATACCTGGCAGGGCGTTGGACTGCAGTGTGCATGCACATACCTGGCAGGGCGTTGGACTGCAGTGTGCATGCACATACCTGGCAGGGCGTTGGACTGCAGTGTGCATGCACATACCTGGCAGGGCGTTGGACTGCAGTGTGCATGCACATACCTGGCAGGGCGTTGGACTGCAGTGTGCATGCACATACCTGGCAGGGCGTTGGACTGCAGTGTGCATGCACATACCTGGCAGGGCGTTGGACTGCAGTGTGCATGCACATACCTGGCAGGGCGTTGGACTGCAGTGTGCATGCACATACCTGGCAGGGCGTTGGACTGCAGTGTCCATGCACATACCTGGCAGGGCGTTGGACTGCAGTGTGCATGCACATACCTGGCAGGGCGTTGGACTGCAGTGTGCATGCACATACCTGGCAGGGCGTTGGACTGCAGTGTGCATGCACATACCTGGCAGGGCGTTGGACTGCAGTGTGCATGCACATACCTGGCAGGGCGTTGGACTGTGGCGAGGAGGGAGTGAAGTATTCACTGATGGAGTACTGGTTCGTCTTCACTGTCCCCCCGTGCCAGAAGCGGAAGCGCGTCGGCACCACCTGAGGGGACACGTGGGTGAAGAGCAATTAGACATGCTGCACCGCTTGCACCCCACTAGAATTCCCTGAAAAGGGACTTGGGGGTTGGCTCTCATGTACCTTCCTGGAAATGTAGTGAAGAGTATGCTGTGAGAAAAACTACTCTACCATGCCACTGAAGGGCAGGTCGTGGTGTAGAGTGTCGTGGAGTGTGGTGAGGTACTTGTAGTATTCTTGGAGTGTGGTGAGGTGCTTGAACATCAGTGAGCTCTGAGAGTTTCTTGTAGTTGAAAATTCCACTAAATCAAGCAGGGTCTTCCCCTTCCTTCAGCAGCGGCAGGGTGGAATGGAGTAGTGCAGTGCGGTGGAGATGGTTCACCTTGAGGAAGTACTTGAAAGTGCCACTGGATCTGGCAGGGTCCTCCCCTTCCTTGAGGGGCGGCAGGATGCGGACAAATCCGTCCAGAGGGTTGAGGCGGCCGGGATAGGGCACTCCGAAACCGAGGGAGTGGATGACGTGAGACACGTTCACATCGCCCACTGATGAGAACACCTGAGAAACGGGGGAGCGACGAGGGGGTGGGGAGGATTTGAAGGGAAGAAAAATCGATTTGAGGCCGGCCATGTGGGAAGCAGGAAAAATCAAGAACAAGAGGAAGGCAGTCCGAAATCGAGGGAGTGGATGATGTGTACCAAATTCGTGGTTCGGAATTTTGCTTATCGAAGAGAACTGGTTCAGACGAATCGGACCAGTTCGGTTTGTTTATTCACTTCCAATGTAGTCACAAGTTTCTAGGCTTTTTTTTTCATGGTGGCCATTCTCCATTTGGACTGGATTGTGAACCCAAATCTAGGAAGACGCGCAGCTCTAACCGCAATGTTGACCTACAACACACCTTCAAATTCTAAGAATCCTCCTTCATCGGTAAATCTCGGTTTTGAGAGCAAGCTGCGGGTGTTTCAATGTAAAGGTTATGCAAAGGTGATGACGATTCTAAGAGACCATGGTGGTTTCTAGATATAAATTTGTCCAAAAACGCATGGATCCAGTAAGAAAACAATCAAGAAAAAAAATGGAGGCCGTAACTTAGGAAAGCTTGGTGGTGGACATATTCGGAATGCTAGGTGGCTGGCAGGACCAAACACTACGAGAGAGTTGGAGCTCAAACCAAGCTTCTACTCTCTGGTCGACGAAGGCAATAGAACCCTGCGCGACACGAGCGCGGGGTTACACGACGAACTAAATTAGGCGACGAACCTGCCGAACCGACTTTTTGTTTCAGCTTTTTGGGCGTGGTCAACTTAATCCGAAATCCTGGAATGAGACACGCGCGCGATGAAGAAACTTAAGTGATCGGTGCAAAAGCGTAAGGCTATCCAGTTTCAGCGGATTCGTCACTTACATGCTACATTCGCTACGATTTTGCATAGATTACTTAAGATTCTTCATCGCGTGCGTGTCTCATTCCAACGAACCTACCAAACCTATGAACCGGTTCGTAAGATGATCTGGATCGGTTTGTCAGAGAACCAAAAAAAAAAAAAAACAACAACAACAACAACAACAATTTGGTTCGTTGATTACCGACCCGAGCTGCGCCGAACTGAACCGCGGTTCGGCGGGCTGCTCATACCTACTTCACACCACCTTGCACACTGCAGAGAAGACTACTTGGGAAGAGGAGGGGGAGAGGTGAGGGCGGGAAGAAGGCCGAGTTGAAATGGAGTGGGGACAAGTGGTGCTGAGTGAATTGGCATTAGAGCATGAGCTGCTTGCGTCCAGGTCGCACCACGCAACACACCTGCTGCTTCAGCACCAAGCAAGCAACCCAGATTACCTGCTGCAGCACGAGGAAGGACTGGCCGTGCAGCGATACATGGAAGTTGATTGATGCATACGAGAATGAGGGCAGCACATAGCAGCCAAGCACCTCACCAGGCAGCAGGCAGCAGCTCACCTGCTGCAGCACGAGGTCGGACTGGCCGTGCACCGATACGTGGAAGTTGATTGATGCGTGCTGCACCTGCTGCATCAATCCCACCTCACCACACACAACCGCATCGTACCTGCTGCAGCACGAGGTAAGACTGGCCGTGCACCGATACATGGAAGTTGCCCGCCACCCTCTCCACTGACAGATGGCCGTACAGCTGGCGAGAGAGGTAGGAAGGAGGTATGGAGGAGAGGGAAGAGGTAGCAGGGAGTGAAGAGAAAGGTCAGGGAGCTGGGATGGAAGTTGCCTGCCACCCTCTCCACCGACAGATGGCCGTATATAGCTGGAGAAAGGGCAGAGGGAGCAAGGAGCACGGAGCAGGGAGTGAGGGGAAAAACAAGAGGGCACACCACATGAGTGGGCACACCACATGAGAGGGCAAACCACATGAGCACCGATACGTGGAAGTTGCCCACCAGCCTCTCCACTGACAGATGGCTGTGTAGCTGGGAAGGCGGAGCAGGGAACAGGGAGCAGAGAAGAGGGAGTGCGGGGAGCACAGAAGGCAAAAGGCCCACCGCACGTGCACCGAGACATGGAAGTTGCCCATCGCTCTCTCCACTGACAGCTGGAGAGAAGAGGGCGCAGGGAAGAGGGAACAGGGCGCAGGGAAGAGGGAGCAGAGCGTAGAGTGAAGTGAAGAAAAAGGCAATGTGGGGAAAGAAAGATAGGGGGTGGAAAGGGGAATGGTGAAGGGGGGAGCAGAAACGGAGAAGGAAGAGGAGAGCGGAGTCACTGGGGGTGAAAATAAGAGCACGCATAGGCAGTGGAGGTAGCAGAGGCGGCAGAGGCAGCAGAGGTGGCAGAGGTGGCAGAGGCAGCAGAGGTGGCAGAGGCAGCAGAGGTGGCAGAGGTGGCAGAGGTGGCAGAGGCAGTGGAGGCAGCAGCAGAGTACCACAACTGAATGCTCTCATACACACAACTGCCACCCCCTCTCACACACACACCTGCCATCCCCCACACACACGCACCTGCCAACCCTTCCCCCACACACACCTACCCCCCTTCCCACACTACCTGGCACCCTTCCCCAGCAGCCATGGCCTTCTGCACGTCCAGCACCATCTGCTCCAGCCCCACCACCTCGTCCCCCTCCTCCTCCTCCTCTTCACCCTCCTCCCCCGCCTTCCCCTTCTGTCCCCCTGCCGCGTGTGCCTGTCCGTACCCGTGCGCGTGCCCGTGCCCATGGTGGGGCGTGGGGGATTTACCATGCGAGTGGCCTGTGGTGGGGAAGAAAAAGGCGAAAAGGGTGTTGGTTTGCCATGCACAACACATGCACCACGTGTGCGATGCCTGCCCGTACCTGTGTGCGCGTGCCCATGCCCATGGTGGGGCGTGGGGGATTTACCATGCGAGTGGCCAGTGTGTGGGAATAGGGGAAGGGTAAAGAGAGCCAATGCATGAGTTGCCTCAAATATAGCACCCATGCGCCTGCCCATACTCGTGCGCGTGCCCATCCCCATGGCGGGGCGTGGGGGATGTACCGTGCATGTGGCCCTGTGGTGGGGAAGAAGAGTGTAAAAGGGAAGGGAGGCGTGCATTCAGTGCATGCACATTCACGTGTGCACAAGTGCATGCACATGCCCCCACACCTCGTGTGCCTGCCCATTCACGTGTGCTTGCCCGTACCCATGCGCTTGCGCATGCCCATGGTGGGGCGTGGGGGATTCACCATGCGTGTAGCCTCTGGTAAGAGGGGAAGGGAAAGGGGAGAAGGAGGCGATTCTATGCATGCATGACACATGTGTACCTGCCCTGCCCATTCCCGTGTGCTTGCCAATGGTGGAGCGTGGGGAATTTACCATGCATGTGGACTGTGGTAAGAGGGGAACGGGGAAGGGAAGGAAAATTTGTCTGTGGATGACTTGCCTCAGTCATAGCACACGTGTGCCTGCCCGTTGAGGTGATTTTCGAGGCGCACTCAAATCAAAAATCACCTCTGTGCATGACTTGCCTCAGTCATAGCGCATGTGTGCCTGCCCGTTGGCAAGAAAGAGATTCCGCAACAGAGCCAACCACACCACACCACACGTCCGCACCGCAGCAGCCCCAGCTCCCAACGTGGCGCTTCTTGGCCTCGCTCTGCCTCCATGGGGTCCTTGAGCGATTGCAAACCTGCCCCTAGTTGTTCCCCCAAGCCTCTGGTCCCAAGCCTCTGGTCCCAAGCCTCCAACCCCGAAGTGGCGAGCCTCACCTTTGCGCTTCTTGCTCTTGCTTTGCCGCCACGCCCCTGTGGGGTCCTTGAGCCAGCGTGAGTCTGCCAACTGACCATGGCGGTCCAGACGGATCTGATGGGGGAGAAGGGGGTGAGAGAAGGGAGGGGGAAGGGGGGGGGGGGAGGAAGGAGGGGGAGACAGAAGAAGGGGGGGGGGAGGGGGGAGGGGAAGGGGGGGAAGGGGAGGGGGTCCTTGAGCCACCGCGAGACTGCCAACCGGCCATGGCGGTCCAGACGGATCGGATGGGCGGCAGGGCGGAGAGGGAGGGGAGGGGATGGGGAAGAGAGGGCGGTGGAGGGGGGTCTTGAGGCACAATGAACGAGCCATCTGGCCATGGCGGTCCAGGCAGGTCGAAAGGACCTGAGAGGAAGGAGAGGAGGGAGAGGAGAGAGAGGAGGGAGAGGAGAGAGAGGAGGGAGAGGGGGGAGAGGAGGAAGTGGAGGAAGAGGAGGAAGAGGAGGAAGAGAAGGGAGAAGGGATGGGGAGGGAGGGGAGGGGACGGGAGGTTCGACGGGAGGGTAGGAGTGAGCTGAGCACACAGGTGGCGGACTCACGGTGGCTTTAAGGGCCCCATCTGTGCGCCCCATGGCAGTCGCTTGGCAAATACTCAAAAGCGTGGCGTGGTTGTCGAAACGGATTCGATAGAAAGCAGAGAGGATAATATAGCATGGGAGGGATATGGAATGGAAGGGTCTATCTTTTGAGGCGCCTCAAAAGCAGAGAGGATAATATAGCATGGGAGAGATATGGAATGGAAGGGTCAGTTTTCAAGGCGCCTAAAAAGTAGAGAGGATGTGATAGCATGGGAGGGATATGCAATGGAAGGGTCTGTTTTCGAGGCGCCTCAAAAGTAGAGAGGATGTGATAGCATGGGAGGGATATGCAATGGAAGGGTCTGTTTTCGAGGCGCCTCAAAAGTAGAGAGGATGTGATAGCATGGGAGGGATATGCAATGAAAGGGTCTGTTTTCGAGGCGCCTTGAAACTCAACATAATAGACAGCAAGGGAAACGCGAGCGGAGAATGTCCGGGTGGGGTGTGGAAGCCCGAGGTACGGTAACGGGATAGACATGCTGCTAGTGAACAGCAGACGAGTGGCCATTCAGTCAAGGGCAAATGTGGCATGATGCGATGCATGGGTGGGAGGGAAGGGGAGAGGGTGGGTGGGCGGCAGGGTGGTGGGTGGGCGGCACGGTGGGGTGGCACTGGAAGGGGAAGATGGGTGCAGGAAGAACGGCGAAATATGGTTGGAATAGAAGGACGATCAGCACAGCACAGCACAACACAGCATTGCCAAGCCATGGTGTGCGAGGCGATTTTTGAGGCGCCTCAAAGAAGGGCAAAATATAGAAGGACGAACAGCACAGCACAGCACAGCATTGCCAAGCCATGGTGTGCGACGCGTTGCAGACGTTTCCATTGCAAGCACTCCCTCGATCGAGCGTCCCTCAATGGTAGCATAACAAAACAGTGAGAGTCGCAGGGTGCTTTGTTATAACGTGTACAAGAGAGAAGCCTCGTTATACCTTGTACTCGTTAAGTGAGGCCTCGTTATCCCTTGTAGTCATGAGAAAAAGCATCGTTATACCTTATACTCGTTAAGAGAAACCTACCTTGTACATGTTGGTTGCGATGTCCACCTCATGGTTGCCCGACATGTCCAGAGCATCGAGACTGATCACTGTGTGCCACACACACACACACACACACACACACACACACACACACATGCACACACGCACGCACACGCCCACACACTCACACACACACGCACCCACAAGCTCCCCCCCCCCACCCACCCCCACCCCCCCCCCTCCCCCACATCATATACATGCACCCACGCACTTGAGATAATTCACGATGACGGCATGCACCGGAAACGCGAACTTGCAAGCGCGAAACAGGACAGGGGACGCACAAAGAGTGGAGTGGAGACGACGGGAGGGAGGGGAGGAGAGAGGGATGGGGATGGCCGGGATGGGATGGGAGGGGAGGGGAGGAGAAGTTGCGAGCATACCGATTCAAAGCAGGAGGAAAGGACATTGACAGGGGAAGGCATTAACGAAAGGAATGGAGAGGAAGGAGGAGAGGAGGAAGGAGGAGAGGAGGAAGGAGGAGAGAAGGAAGGAGGAGAGGAGGAACCGGTGGAGGTGAGAGAGAGAGGGACGAGGACAGGTAGGTGGGTGGAAAAGGAGGCGGGCGGGGGATGCCGGTGAGCTCACCATTGCAGGGCAGCGAGGGGAAGGAGATGTTGAGATACACGTCTAGCTTCTCATCCCTTGGCGTCTTGTCCACTGCCATCTGTGGGGTGGGTGGGGTGCAGGGGAAGGGGAGAACGGGAGCATGGGAGGGAGGGGAGAGGAGGGGAGGGCAGGGAGGGGAGATATGAGATACACATCGGGCTTCTCGTCCCTTGATGTCTTGTCCACTGCCATCTGTGGGACAATGGGAAGGGGAGAGGCGGGAAGGGAGAGGAGGGGAGGGAGGGGGCGGGAGGGAGGGAGGGGAGGGGAGGGAGGGAGCACGGACGCAAGATTTACTCGCCTTGCTGTTTGCTCGGAACAAAGTCAATCACCTCCTCATGCACCTCAGGCAGGTGTGAGCACAAAGGACAGCTTGTGGGTGAACGTGAGCATGCGTGAACGTGATGTGAGAGAATGCTGGTCATTCACTCCATTCCAGCACGCACGCACCTCCTCATGCACCTCCGGTGTGAGCACGAAGGAGAGCTCGTGGGCGAATGTGAGGGGATGTGAGCATGAGTGCATGTGAGCATGAGTGCATGTGAGCATGAGTGCATGTGAGCATGAGTGCATGTGAGCATGAGTGCATGTGAGCAGGCTAATCACTCCATTCCATTCCACCACACCACGCACTCACCTCCTCATGCACCTCAGGCGTCAGCACAAAGGAGAGCTCGTGTGCAAACAGCACCACCATGATCGCCACTCCCAGGAGAGTCACTGTGCACGTAAGGGGAGGAGGAAGGGGGGAAGGGAGGGGGGTAGGGGCGGGGCGAGTGGGGGGTGAGTTTGAGCTCTAAGGACAGCTCGTGAGCGAACAGCACCACCATGATCGCCACACCAAGCAGAGTCACGGTAGGGATGAGCAAATGGCGAACTCGAACACGTTTGGGTTCGAGTTCGCTCGAACATCATCTTTTCCCGAACCGAACACAGTTCGGTTCGGCGAACACTTTGAGCAAAAAATGGTGTTCGCCGTTCGCCTGTGAAGGCGTGTTCGGGCGAACCTCGAACAGTGTTCGTGTTCGTCACGGGCAAATTGCAGCGGCGGCCCGAACACGAACGTGTTCGGGCGAACATCGAACACTGTTCGGCGAACATTTTAAGCCAAAAAAAAAACCTGTTCGGTTCGCCTCGAACACGTTCGAGGCGAACCGAACAGGTGTTCGCCACCTTGCTCATCCCTAAGTCACGGTGGGTGGGTGGGGGGGGATGGGAGGGAGGATCGGAGGGAGGATGGGATGGGAGGTAAAGGGTGCGGGATTGTGGAGAGCATACGAGGAGTGAGTGAGCACCAAGAGCCACTGTGCACATGGGGGTAACTGTAGAGAGAGACACGAGGATGGGGAGAAACGGAGGCGGAGGGGAGTGGGGGGGATGGAGAGCGGAAGAGGGAAAGGGGGCTGGTAATTTGATTGCCACGCCTACCAGAGTCACTGGCGAGAAGTGATTGTGGAAAGAATCAGGCAAGGAAAGGGGGGAAGGAAGGGGAGGTAGCGATTGCACCGCCTGGCTGGGTGGCTGGTATTGAACGAGAGCGGTGTAAGACAAGTTATGAGAGGGGTGGGGTGGGAGAGCCCTGGGGAATCTTACGCGATGCCCTGGCTGGGGGCCCTGCGGCAATGGTGCCGTCCGTACCGAGGACGTCTCGGTGCGTACCGGCAGCGTCTTCTCAAAGAGACGGCCCTCCGCCTTGGGGAACGCCGTCAGTCGCCACAGCTGCCCTTGAAATACCTGACCCATAGCTCCAAGGGATGGTGCCGTACGTACCGAGGGTGTCTCAGTACGCACCCCTCGGTACGTACCGACAGCGTCTTGTCAAAGAGGCGGTCCTCCGCCTTGGGGAACAAGTGCGTGGCACACCTGACCTGGGGACAGCTGACCCCAACCGTATGTATGGAGGGCTCAAGCCTCATTGTCGACACTCCAATCGAGCGTAACAATGCTACAATCCGCACTGCCTGCGTTGCGTACCGATGGCGCCCGACACCGTCTTCTGCGCGAGGTGGTCCTCCGCCTTGGGCTTGGTTGGGGAGCACGTGCGCGGCACACTGCCCTGGAAGTACCTGAGCCTCAGCCCCACGTATGGAAGCCTCAAAGCCTTTTTGACATGCCAAGGCGCTGTACGTACCGATGGCGCCCGACAGCGTCTTCTGCGTGAGGTGGTCCTCGGCTTTGGGAAACGCGTGCAGCTTCGAGATCGCGCCCCATTTCCCGCCCATCGCGATAAATTGCCTGCGAAACCGAGCGCCCTCCTGCTTGCGGCGGAGTGGCTTCGGTTTTCGCGCGGTGCGGTCGACACTGGCGCTGCGGAGCGAATCGCGCGTGGACGAGGTTGGTTGAGCGCGGTGAGATTAGAACGGATTCACAAGGTTCGGTGAGAGCGGGAGCTGCGGAGAGGAATCGGAACCGGCGACGTGACGGCGGGTAAGTCCTAAGAACACGACGCGGACAGCTTCTACACTACCCTAATACGGAATCGGAGCGCAATGCTGGGGAAAGGGACGCGGTGTGCTGAGTGTGGGGGGATTGATCGTGGTGTTGTTCTCGAAGTGGCTAGAAAAATAAACATCGGTTCAGATCGGTTGCATGCTCTCCTCACTGAAATTGTTCTAGAAGGTCCTAGAGGTTGGGTCGTGTTTGCAAACAAAACATGCTTCTCTGCCCTGGTGTTGCACTTGGAATCTAACTTCTAACAAGGTGGATGTTATGAGTTGTAAAAGAGAGTGCGCACGTAAACGAATAACTGATATGAGAATACAATGAAGGAACACACTAATGTAGGGGCTGGCCTAGCTAGGAGGAAACCTCGGACGAGCGAGGTTGGGGTGCAGGTTTGGCGATGGGAAATGCCGAAGGCGACGCGAGGAGCCTCGGCAGCGTTGAAATCGGCTGAACGTGCAAAGTCCGAAAATCAGGCTGTACGCGTAGCAGTCAACCCCGATAAGGAATTCGGGAAAATTCCTTACACTACCCCCCCCCCCCCCCTTAAGAAAGGTGGTCAATATCTGAAACACGCCTGCCCGCCAAATAATCACGAACAAGTGACGAGGCGTCGAGTGAGTCGGAATGCACCCACGTATCATCTTCACTGGTGCGGTCAGTCCAACGGATGAAGAAATCCACGTGGCGACCAGCTGCGTCAAGGCGAACCCGATGTGCCAGAATCTTCGAAGGTTCGAGAGTCGGCTCTGGGACAGGTCGTGCAGTTGGGGCAGCTTGTTGCCTCGCGATGTCGGTCGTGGCTGGCACGAACTTCCGAAGCAGGCTGACGTGGAAGGCGTCATGAATGCGCCAGTCGTCGGGTAGCAGCAGCTTCGCGATGACAGGTATCACCATCTTGATAATTTTGAAGGGTCCACAAAATCGTGGCCGTAGTTTCAACGGGCCGGGCAGGTGTAGGTTCTTCATGTCAAGTAGCACTAGTTGCCCAGTGGTCAAGACGAGTTCCCGGCGTAGAAGGTCGGTGTATTTGCGGGAAGTGATATTCGCCTTGTGAATTGCGTCGGCGGCTTTTTCTCGTACTTCCTGAAGTTCTGTCACAAAAGTCTGTGATCGCGGGACCAGGTTGTCGAGTGCAGTTGGCGTAGGGACCGTCGGATCCATTCCGTAATTTAGGGAAAACGGGGAGTGATTAGTCGTGCTTGACGGCGCGTTGTTGAAAGCGAACTCCAACATTGCGAGAGATTCTTCCCAGCGAGCAGGGTCGAGGCAGTTTGTCCTGATCAGATTCTCCATGGTCTGATTGGTCCGCTCGGTCTGGCCGTCCGTCTGTGGGTGATATGCCGATGAGAACTGTAGCTTCGTGCCGTACTGCGCCCATGTCTCCTTCCAGAATTTTGATGTGAACTTCGGGTCTCGGTCGCTGATGATCGCCGAAGGGATGCCGTGCAGTCGCACGACCGTTGAGATGAAGAGGCGCGCAGTTTCTTCGGCTGTGATTGTCGTTTGGCATGCGACAAAATGCACCATTTTTGTGAAGCGATCGACGACGACGAGCACTGCGTGTTAGAATGCTAGCATGACTTAGGAGCCATGGCTAGTGAGTGTCGAGAGAATTTTGGGTGAGGAAAGTCGAGAAGGAAGAATGATGGTTTCACTATAGGTTCAAGGGTACAAATATGAAAGAAGTGAAGCAAAGTGCACCACCTAACAAGCAAGATAACTACACTAAGTCTACATTGCAGGTAGTTATAAAGTGATGTATACAATAACATTCTGACACACCCCCTAACTGCCTGCAGTGAAGAACCATGTGCAGAAACACCCCCCGAAGGGGTACACCAAGCAGAGCGCAGCAGACGGAGAGGGCAAATGAGGAGGAGAGACTGTGGAGGAAGAGAAGATGCGAGGCAACGACTGAAACTGCAGAGGCACGGGCACAGGAGCGGCTGACTTAGTGGCTACCGAAGCAAGGGCGACGGACAACTGGAGTGACTGGCTCCGCGGCTATAGACGAGCGGCAGGAGCAACGGACCCACTGGCGACTGGTGCAACAGGCTCACTGGCTACCGAAGCAAGGGCGACGGACTACAGGCGCTGCAGGCGACATGACAGCTACCTTCACACAACCTCCCCCAGCTGCCCCACTCCCCTCTCACACACTCCCTGTTCAAACCCTAGCTCCACTCCCACAGCACCCCCCTTAAACCCTAAACCCTAGGCTCCCACACACCCACCCCCCTCAGCGACAGCTGCAGCAGTGGGAGACGAGGGAGGAGGAGGAGCAAGGGGAGGAACACATAACCGCCACCCCCATACCCGCCACCCCCATGCTCGACACCCCACACCCCCAGCACCACGGAATGCACGGGGGGGGGGGGGGGGGGGGGGAACGGGACGGGCTGCAGGTGCGGGCTGCTCCAGGGGCGGCCGCTGCAGGTGCGGGCTGCTCCAGGGGCGGCTGCTGCAGTTGCTAGCTGCTCCAGGGGCGGCTGCTGCAGGTGCGGGCTGCTCCAGGGGCGGCTGCTGCGGTTGAGGGCTGCTCCAGGGGCGGCTGCTGCAGGTGCAGGCTGCTCCAGGGGCGGCTGCTGCAGGTGAGGGCTGCTCCAGGGGCGGCTGCTGCAGGTGCGGGCTGCTCCAGGGGCGGCTGCTGCAGTTGCGGGCTGCTCCAGGGGCGGCTGCTGCAGTTGCTGGCTGCTCCAGGGGCGGCTGCTGCAGGTGAGGGCTGCTCCAGGGGCGGCTTCTGCAGGTGCGGGCTGCTCCAGGGGCGGCTGCTGCAGTTGCTGGCTGCTCTAGGGGCGGCTGCTGCAGGTGCAGGCTGCTCCAGGGGCGGCTGCTGCTGTTGCTGAGGCACATCCGCCACCCCCTCACACCCTCTCCCCGCCATCCCCATGGAGGGGGGGGAGGGGGGCGGGGGCGGAGCTGCGCGTGCGACTGTAGGGCACGCGGGCAGGAGGAACCCCTTCTTGCCACCCCCTCACCCACCATGTTGCAACAGGGCACCGGGGCCGCGGTTAGGGGCGGCAGGTCGAGAGGGGCCATGGCTAGGGGCGACGGGGCCATGGCTAGGAACGGGGCCGGGCGCTGGGCAGATACGGGGCCAGGTGCTGGGCTAGGGACGGGGCCGGGTGCTGGGCAGGTACGGGGCCGGGCGTTGGGCAGGTACGGGGCCGGGCGCTGGGCAGGTATGGGGCCGGGCGCTGGGCAGGTACGGGGCCGGGCTCTGGGCAGGTACGGGGCCGGGCGTTGGTTAGGTACGGGGCCGGGCGCTGGGCAGGTACGGGGCCGGGGCGCGGGCTAAGTACGGGGCCGGGCGCGGGCGTTATACGGGCCGGGCGCGGGCTAGGTACGAGGCCAGGCGCGGGCTAGGTACGGGCCGGGCGCGGGCAAGAGACGGGCCCGGGCGCAGGCGTAAGACGTGGCCGAGCGCGGGCTAGGCACGGGCCTGACGCGGGCTAGGTACGGGCCAGGCGCAGGGCTAGGAACGGGCCGATCGCGGGCTAGGTACGGGCCAGGCGCGGGCGCGAGACGGGGCCGGGCGCGGGCTAGGTACGGGCCGATCGTGGGCTAGAGACGGGCCAGGCGCGGGCGACGGAATCGACGGGGCCAGCGGGGCCGAGGGGCCGAGCTAGGGGCGACGGGGCCAAGGGGCCGAGCCTGGGGGCTAGGGGTGACGCCAAGGAGCGACGGACTGGGGCCTAGGCTAGCAGGGCATTAGGTGGTGGGCCCATTAATGTGAGGTCCTAGGAACTATTGCTCTTAATACCATGTTAGAATGCTAGCATGACTTAGGAGCCATGGCTAGTGAGTGTCGAGAGAATTTTGGGTGAGGAAAGTCGAGAAGGAAGAATGATGGTTTCACTATAGGTTCAAGGGTACAAATATGAAAGAAGTTAAGCAAGGTGCACCACCTAACAAGCAAGATAACTACACTAAGTCTACATTGCAGGTAGTTATAAAGTGATGTATACAATAACATTTTGACACCGCGTTGTTGCCGGACGGCCCAGCTGGCATCCCCGTGACGAAATCCATTGTCACTTGCTGCCACGGTCGTTCGGGTGGCTCGAGGGGTTGCAGCACCCCAGCTAGTCGTTGACGTGTCGATTTCATGGCTTGGCACACCCTGCATGAGGACACATATCGCTGCACGTCGTTAGAGGAGTCAGGCCAGTAATATTGACGGTGCAGTAATTTCTGGGTTTTATCAACCCGGAAGTGTCCGGAGAAGTTTGAATCGTGGACCTCTTGGATAAGGAGTTCACGCAGCAGCCTGTAAGCGGGAACCCAAATCCGGTCAGGTTCCGGCTTTTAGGTAATAATCCCCTTTCTGCGTCGTGGCCTGCTGGTGATTCCCGGTCGTGAAGAACGGGTACGTAGTGTAGCCGTGGGTGAATAGTCCGGCAAGTAATGGGTTCGAATAGGTAATGAGTACTGCAGCGGATTGTACTGTCGGTCGGGTCAGGGCGTCGGCGATGTTATTCGCCCCTTTCTTGTACGTGATGCGGTAGGTGAAGTGGCTCTCCATGTAATCCAGCTACCGTATTTGTCGCGGGTTGAGGTTGGGCTGGGCTCGTAGGGACTGTAGGGACTTGTGGTCTGTGCAAACAGTGACGTCGGCGCCCACCAAGTAGCAGCGCCACAGTTTGAACGCGTGTATTATGGCGAGCATCTCCTTGTCGTGGATCGGGTAGTTGCGTTCGGCTGCCTGTAGCTTGCGTGATTCGTAGGCAATCGGCTGCAACCCGTTCCCGAAATCTTGGAGGAGCACAGCTCCGAT